CCTTCAGCATCATCACCGCCGATCACAATCACAATCCTTCGTCGCACCCGGCCGGGCATAGAACCCAACAAAATCTCTTGCACGAGTAGGTTGCATTTTTAGGGTCTTCTTGACGCAAAGGTACCTTCACGAAGCATCTAGAATCAGTTATAGGTGACACATGGCGCGATGGTTTCCATGAAAAGATGTACAACACCGTCCAGCAGCTGGCCAAGAAGTAGTTGGGTGGCTAGAGCCCGGTCAAAGTGCTAGTCAGAGTTGCTAGGGATGAGGCCTATGAATTAGAATTGTTCTTGGAAGATTCTGGACGTGTCACTCATTGCTTATTTGCACACCAGGCAATGGTGGAGTTAATGAGACTCGTTCACGACGTGTTAGTCTTATATTCTACCTACAAGACAAACAAGTAGCGTTTGTCTCTCCTGCACGTTGTCTAATTCCACCGCATTGCACACCACATTCTCCGCAGCCTTCAATTTTATGACGAAAGAGACCGAAGAGTCGTACAGAACCGCTGTTGTGTTCTTGCACAAGCCATTCCACACCAATGCTCTGCCAAAGTCTTCGCCGTTAATCGAAAAATTTCCCTGATCTCGGCGTTGCGATAGCAATTTCCACAGGCCTCGATTTGTGTGTGTGTGTGGCATATTGAGAAGAACGTCACCAGGAATTGCAGGGGTATTCTTGGCAGCGATCGTGAATAATTCGTTGTAGACTGCGCAGCGGTAAGAAATCAATAAATCGCAAATTTTACCAAACCAGTGAGCCATCTCGCTGCTATTTATAATTTTTTAGATCATGCATGCAGATACGGTGGCTTGTTTGGAGGAGATCTGGTCCAGTTTTCAGAACCGCTACCGAATGTACCAGAAAGCGCTAGAATACATATACGACACGTGGATCTATCCCGCAAGGAAATGTTTGTTGCGGCATGGACCAACAACGTTACACACTGTAGGCATGCCGTAAAAACATGTGGTATAAACGGTTACAGCCGTCCGAAAACGTAACTGGGCTTGCTCAATTGTTAATTGGTGCAAGAGGATCAAGGTGTCGATTGAAAGTTGCCGGATGGATTACCTTGCGAAACACGCGATCGATCATAAGCAAACTCCTCTGTTCGCCTACCCTTCCCCCAAGACGGACATTTGGTCAGAACGTCACAAGAATCGTTTCGTATTTTGGCGTTGAGCAAAGTCAACGAGAAGGCAAGTCAATCATGTGATGAAATTACCAAATTCTAACATCTCCTTTTTGACATATATATATTTTTTTGCAGCTGGAATTCGCGCGCAGACCAGTCAAATCTGATGAAAATACATACTCCCATGCCTTCACGACAGTCTGAGGTATGATATGCTAGCGCCGGCTCGAGGATTTGATCAGCGAGGATAAGCGATTGAGCTTCCGAACGATACCCATCCTTTTTAGCACATTGTGGAACATTTTTCTCTTTGTGCTGAAGCTATTAAGAGACCCGTAGATCGTTTGCCTGTTGTGCTGGAGCAAGTAGCCATCAACGTGGCGACGTTGCCGGATCACCAGCAGAGGGCAACTGTTCAGCAGCTTTACGATTGATCCCAGCATTTTTCTATCCAATCAAGGAATCAGACGCTTTGAGGACAAAGGGCTGCCCAAGCACCTCGACGAATAGAAATCCGTCTATGTTTGGTGACGAGAAAAACGAGACCTGCTTTTTCGACAACTACGCCCGGCAGCGATCCCAGAGCGACGACATGGAGGAGATAATATCAGTATTATTTGTTTTCACCTAGCAACCGAGTTGTTTCAGGTGTCAATCTCACATCAGCAGACCTTATCTGACAGTCTTGGTAGGCGCAAGAAATCGTTTCCTAGGGTCCCCGAGAGGTAAATAATGAAATAAAGTGTTGAACGCTGTGAAGGCAAGATAGACAGTCTAATTCTGTAGCCAAACTACTATAGCTCATTGTCAGACGAGGAAGTTATGCTCAACGAGCATGCTACTTCTCTAGAGAACTCGACTTTACGAGTCAACGAGCATAAAGCTTCAGATCCTTGTTTAAGGGACCTAACAATTCAACGAATCGAGTGCACAATGTGTGAGGAATTTATGTCCTAACAAGACTTGACTCTCTTATGATCTGAGACGCCTTAAAAAGACACGTGTCTCTCACAGATCAAAAGGGGAAACTGAACTTTATTTATTTTTATGTGCAAGGACACCTTAGCCGTAAAATACCTGATCCAGACACGAATACCCTAAATTAGTACTTTTTTAAAGATCCCTTGTCTGGTGGCTGACACACGTCAGCCTGCAACGACTGATAAGGTGTTCTACTATCACTTCCAATGAGATCTTATCCCTGGTGTGAACCCCACATGTTATATCGGCTACCAACCGACGTGTAACCCGTTACAATCGATATATTGATGTTTTTTGATACTCTAGCTCGCTAGGCAAAGCCCCAAGGTAGGCACTGAAGATATCGCACGAAGAGTGTTAACACATGCAAGCAGTCTAGTTGTGCGGCCTAGTTACAACAACATTGCTGCTGCAACAAAGACCGCGTCATAATACAAGTGTCATTAGCGGATTGTTTGCTGCACTTGAAGCCGGTGTATCATTGTCTCACTCTCGTTGTTATGTAAGGAGTTTGGGATTGTAGTAAATCATCTGAACTATTAGGGTTCGTTGGCAGCGTTCTTATAGTATCCAAGGTACGACGCACAACAGCGGTGCTGAACAATGCCAGCCGGTCTACATGTTTACTTCATCGTAGCGCGTAGAACTTTTACGGAGGGGATGGACGTAGTTGCCAGGGCTTCGTGTGACTATCTGAGCCTATGATGGATCACTTAATTGAGCAAAGGCATGACTGAGCGGTCATGCTTGTTGTTGTCTTATTTACTGATAAGTGCGCCGTTTTGCTTGGTACATGGACAGATGCGAAAGCGTCAGTGCGCGCTCATGGTGACCGAAGTGATGCTACAACTGAATGTTTCGATAAAACTACACAGCATGTCAAGCGATATCAAGAGCGAAAGGCTTGCATCGAGTTGATACCGCACACTCGTTTTCCGTAGCACAGATCATACGATTGAACAACACAGGTACGTCTCCTACGATGACGCATGTTCGTGCCGTTGTCAAGTTGTGATCGCAATGCAGCTACGCCTGGTTCCGCTCTAGATGTAGAAACGTCCCTTTGAGCTTGTTGCGGGCATGCAATACGTGTTTCACCATCTCTGCGTGCTTGCAATCAACGTATCGTAAGAAGATGCCGAAAGATGAGGAGTGCAGTCTCCGCGCGAGTCCTCTGTGCGGGAGCCTCAGAGCCTCAACTATCGGTGAATCTGCACGTTTTTTTGCACTCATTCGACCAAGCATGACAACATTTTGCAACATGTGTTACAACACACGTGTCATAGATCACTATTACCATTCATACCACGTGGCAACAAATTGCCGTCCAGTACGACGATGCGCGAACATAGAGTGCAACAATCGTTACTCTTGCATCGCAATACATCCAGCAGCCGTTCACGAGTCGTCAGTTTTTCGCCATCGAGTCCCACTCCCTACCATGAGGTTACGTTTGGAAGCCCCGATTAAATTGACGTCATTTCAGTTGCTCCTGTCGCTAACCTCAAACACCACCCTACATCTGGTGTGCGTTTGTGGGTCGCCTGGAGAGCTTCCTGCAGCTTGTCATCGTCAGCTCCAAGAGGTTGGAGGGAGTAGAAGGTAAAACAGACTGTATGTGGTTTACGGAGGCTCAAGCACATGTGATGTCGTCCGAACAAAAGCAACCTGCGCAGTGTCAATGATGGTCATGCTCGTTGCTACATCTACACATTGATATCGATCGCAGCAAGCCGAGGATGAAGTACAGTGTCAAGCTGTTCGATGTCGTCGAGTACGGCTACAGCGTTTACCTTTTGAACAAACGTTTGTGCGATACACGAGTCATTCGATGTTGACTCTTCAAATGAGCACTTCATCGAATGATCATTGAAATGCTTCTTGCACTAAGAGCATGCATGTTGGTGATCAGAAGTTGACTATCTTTTCAGGGGAAACACCGCCTGTGTTGTTTGCAAGGAAAGGTTTTGACACCGGTGCTCAACATTGCGTGCGCACAATGAAAGAAAGCGATCGTTTGTGCAATCAAGTACTTGACGGATAAGGCACTTGGCTGAAATGCACGTGACATCGTTCATACAAGTCGTGGCGAGAAGTGAGATCAACGTTCGTACTTGTAGCCTGGGTCAACGCTGATCAGACACGAAATACTCATCGTTGACGCGCGAAGGAAGCCGAAGCAGTGTGAAGTAGATCAAAAGAGAAGATGTCGTTGATGGAGATCAGTTCAAGCAGCATAGTAATGGCATCAATCGATCAGAAGCCTTCAAATGTGCTCGAACGTATGGGGCAGAGGCGCATGATGAGCGAAAACTGACTTTGTTGCAGATCCTTTTGGTCAGAATGAAAGAGACGAAGAAGTCGCGGTCGCTCAACTACAGTCTACGAATCTGTCCATACGTATCGAAGCGGAAAGCGTTGTCTGTCGCGCCATAGAGTTCAAAGTACCTCGACGATCGCAACCTTCTTCGTACGAGGTATAAGTCAGACAGACGATAAGGTTGACGGGGGCAGAGAAGGATAACGGCTTTGGTTCGCATGGCGTACGCTCTGTCGTGGTTTTTACGTAGCACATGGTTTCGACTGCAGCACATGTTCGTCCATATGTTTCTCCAGCTATCGTTCGCTCGTGCGATCGAAAATTCTCGCTCTACGACATATGAAGCTCGACCACCGATGGTCTAGTGCCCTAAGGTACACATAAAGCCGCCATGCAGCCCGTGGCTCCACAACTTGCGGTCTGGAGGTTGCCATGTGGCATTTACAATCACGAAACGGGGGCGGATAAAGCTGTAGCGAACCGATCGAGCCTCAGTCATTCCAAAACTTCTCCTCTGCGCCACAAGCTCAACCTGGACATCGTCCCACTTGTAGCATGACCAGAGCCTTCTTCATCAAGACTGCCGCATTGGTGGCGGCAGTAGTCGCTTCCGCGAACGCTGAATTGAAGACTGTGACGCTCAAGCACCCAAGCGGCTCCAGTGCTGAGGTGTTCCTCTTCGGTGCCCACGTCAAGTCGTTTCGCGCCGCTATCGCCCCCAAGCTCGACATTCTCTTCATGTCGAATGACTCAGTGCTGGACGGCATCGAGCCTATTCGCGGTGGCATTCCTCTTATCTTTCCCAATTTTGGCAGCCTAAAGGGCTTTCCGAGCCACGGGTTTGCCCGCACCACGCACTGGACTCTGGTGAGCCAAAAGGATGCGAAGGACAAGAAGAGCCCCAGTGTGGCCACGTTTTCGATGGCGTCGAGCAACTCGACCCGTACCATCTGGCCCGTGGACTTTGAGCTCACGTACGAGGTCAAGCTGTATGCCGATCAGCTCAGGACGGCTCTGCATGTGCTTAACACGTTCGACAAGCCGATTGATTTCCACGCGCTGCTGCACAACTACCTGTGGGTGGACGACGCGCGCAACAAGGGCGTGCAGGTGAAGGGGCTCAAGGGCGTCGAGTACTTTGACAAGGTGAGCAAGACGAACAAGACCGAGACTCGTGAGCTCATTGACTTTTCGGCTCAGACGGACAATGTGTACCGCAACGCCCCGGACCTCGTGTCTGCAATCATCAAGGGCGTCAACGCTATCGACCGTACGGTGACGGTCAGAAAGGGAGGCTCTATCAGTGGCGGGGCCGGTGCGAAGGTGGAAACCGGCGGGAAATCGGGCATTCCGCGCGACTCGAAGAGCTCGAAACGAGTCAGCACGAAGACAGACCTCGTTTTGTGGAACCCGTGGGCCGAGCGTGCCGTGGCCATGAAGGACTTTGGGGACGAAGAGTACAAGAACATGGTGGCCGTTGAGCCGGGACGCGTGAGCGAGAAGCAAGTCCTGCCTAATGGCCAGACGTACACGTTGCAGCAGACTATCTCTGTCCGCGCAAAGTAAGACGGGACGCTGTGGGGTTCAGGGAGTTGTTCCATACATACTGCGTTGTCATGTCATTTTTTCCTTTTCAGTCGATGGAACTGAGGAGCTCGCTCCAATGTGCCAAACGAATACACGATCCGCCTTTCCAGTGTATACATGTTTTTTGTAGTCAGACGTATACCGTCCGCCTCAGCTCTTTGTCCCTCTGTCTGCCTCGTACGTGTGGCACGGCACAAGATACCGGTGTTTGTCAGCTTAATACCAAAGACGTTACCGACTGCTTGCCAAGTACTACAGAGAAAAGCATAGTGGGTCAGAAGAGAGCGGTTTATTGACCCAAATGTCTAGAGGCTCCGATCCCAGATGCCTGGAGAAATGGGTCAATCAATCGATTCCATGACCCATTTACAGCCAATGAAATGTCTCTCTTGTGCGCACACCACTTTGCATGCAATCGCTTGCAAAAACAGCGACGACGCGCGGACAATCGATTCCCCCGTCTTAGTGACAATGGCAACACCACCTGCGGGGATGTACCTAGTGGACGCGCTGGACGACACCGCGTTATTGACCGGTCTCGAGCCAATGCGCGACGCACTGTCTGCCACGTCAGAGCACATGCGACATGCACTGCCACTGGAGAGCAGCAACGCGACGCTGGACGTCGAGATGAACATCGACATGGACGTCTTTTGCCCCGGCGCCATGTTGGACGCCGACGCGTTTCCGAGCGACTCGGGCGATGGGTTATTTGACTCGAGGTTTTATCCTGGTACGTCGAATTCGACAATGTGTATAGAGTGGTATGTAATTTATTGTTGACATCTGTATATTACGTAGTAATATTTGTCCATGTACAAGTCGAGGCATTCACAGACTCACGTTGTCCATGTCGAGAAACACTATGGATCCACTTGTGCTGTTGATTGACGTGTTGTTGTTGTTGATTTGGTGCAATAGCGATGAGTGGTGACGATGTGCAGGAGGACATTGAGCAGATGCTGTCGTGTGGCTCGGACGAAGCGCTTTTGCACAGTCACGACCATGACACGATGCCAGGGCAGCGATGTCAGTGTCGGACCTTTGCGATCACAGCAAACCGCGTGCAAACGCCGTCGAAAAAAGTTGGTGTAGCCATTGCAGCGAGGGATCAGAGAAAAGTCTTGCGGCACACTTTTGGGTCAGGAAAGAGGTTGCAGGGCTTTGGCTTCGACGAAGCAGCTGATATCGACCAGACGCCGCATCTGGAGGTCGAGTTGACGAACAAGCGACAGTCTGCGTCTGCTCATGATGTCTTTGCTACTGTGGTAGAGAGAAGACGTACTGTGATGGCGGAGGGGCGCGTGGTTGTAGACAGGGAAACGATACAGGCGCTTCCAGAACGGCCCGAGGCGAAGGAACAGAACGTGGCTCTGACGCCAGCGCATGTGCGGCAAAAGTCGTGCTCGATGGAAGATGACCAGATATACAGTAGTCCGTTACAGCGAAGTCTGCCGGTCGGTGCAGTTCCAAGCCCATTGAGTTCGATCGACTTCGTGTCGTTGGAGGATGTGGTTGCAACGCCGTTGTCCAACACGTCACGGTCTACAGTCCGTTCGAATAGGCCAGCGGCAGCGCGTTCGTTGTCGCCTGCTGACGAGCTGGAGAAAATGACAGCAAGTGGCTCTAAACTGTCAATATCCAAGATGAACATGCTGAGGTGCAACTTCCAAGTGTCTCCGGGGCATGGCACGGTGCCGCTTGTCACGCCCACGGCGATGTTACCGCCGCCGTATTTCCGAGGTGCACTGGACTCACCAGAAAAGCGACGTGCGCACTCGAAGACGATCGACCCATTCGCGCAGTCGTTGTCATTCTCGTTCGCAAAAGACGCTTCAACTGGCAGGTGACTCGGCGGTGACGTGCAGCATAAGTTGCTGGTCACTGGAGAAATCAAGCAGCTAAGTGATGCGAGTTGGTTGCACACTGCTCGCCACTTATCACTGTAAACCATAGCTACGATGACATGAGAGAAGAGAAAGCGCACTAGCGAAAAGTGCCCACGAATCTGATGCACTTGGATCGAATGAGCAAACTCATGGCAAGGAACGAAAGCATGATCCATTCAGCTGGGCAGTAAGTGTCAAGCGTGTTCTCTGGTCTTACCACGCCTTGCTGTCACACTAGTGTGTAGCAATGTTTGAGTGCAATCTGGTGCTGTGACCGTGTTCCAGAAGTTGCTACGATACATTGACCACGTCAATTTTGCAGTATGTACAGGACTTGGACTTCACTTCGATAAGTGCAGATCAAAAACGTGTTGCAACGTTGGATGAGTAAGCACGTGCTCGACTTACACAAGCGCAAACGTCCGTGTTAAGTTGTGGGATGTCAGCTTGTCGACAATGTCGCAATCGATGGCTACAGTACAAGACTCGTACGTGGGGTCAGGACCGCGAGGCCGAACACTGACAAGACTGAATGATAAGTCGTATGCCAGATGCTTCTCTTATCTTCCCTTACCGTCCCGAGTAAGGCTCTGGCATAGGATGGACTGTCGGCACAGAGGATGGAATCAACAAGGTATTTGATCTTACTGACTAGTGACGTTTGGCATCGAAACTCTTCGCTGGTGTTGATCTCCACTTTGTCAATTGACTATGAGAGCAAACTCACGATCGTTTAATGATTACCGCATGTGTCCGCTGGACTCTTTTCTGATTGACTTCCAGTGATCATTTCAATTTTGTAGTTAGAGTGATGCACATGAGGATGCAAGAGCTGACGCACTATCAATGACCGTCGCCATGACTTTGTTACGACTTGAGTGGAACTGTCCTGCAAAAACGCGTCAGGTATACTCAAGTGTCGTACTCAACGATAGCACTGGGCTCCAAGCTCAAGTGTCGTGATACCAGTAGGTGTGAGGATCATATGTCTGTATCGATCGCAAGCACTCGTTACCTTTTTGGATCTAACGCCGAATGGGTTTCACGCATGACTCTTTATGAATGGACTTACGGTGCCAAGTCCAGATAACGCCTAAATACAAAGTCGTAGGAAGACGCAAACATGGAGAACGAAAGACCGTAAACAAGCAGAAATGACAGCAGAAACGACAACAACGTCAAACAGAGCAAGTGAACACGTCCTCAGGAGCGCCCGCTCGTTTTGTACATGCTTCACTACCAAATCGCATCGAATTGTTGAGACCAAAGGTGCCACGGTGGCAGACACACGCTAGGACAACAATGTATCGGCCCTTTAACATTTTATGACGAATACCGTGTCGATTGACACGCGTTCCAGCCAGAGCAGACTGAGCTGTATTCCAGAGCTCGTTGGCTGATCAAGACCATAGCAGCGGCCAACTTCTCACTGATGGCCACCACAGTCGGTGAGGGGGCCGCGAGGGCAATAAGTCTTTGCTGTGATGCAGAGGTTGCATCCTGCCTCTTGCAGGTCGCGTTAATGCATGACGTTCGCGGATGCGGTCGCTCGTCGGACACGAAGGCAACGAACGTAGTCTAGGCAGAGTGTAACTTCTGACATCAACACCGGGTTTGGCATCTATGATAGTTTTTCGAAAGAGCACATTATGATTTCGGGGTCTTATGTAGCGGAGACACTTGATCTCATTAAAGCTGCTGACGCCGACAGACTTGTCGATAGCGTAGCCGCTCTTTATGTTTCTCATGCCAATGCACCAGCGCTATGGCTGTTGAGTAAATTGCAGCAAACAGAATGCGAAAAGGCGTTGTAATTAGTCATCCCCATCAGCTGACATACAGCACTCTGGTTTGCTCCGTTTGTCAAACCCACCGTGAACATCTACAAACTGTTGGGTAGAGTGCTAGCGATTTCGATTTGATAGATCGGGAGCTCTTGGAGCTCTCGCAAGCCGTAGTCGACAATCCTGTTCGGCATGTAACATCGAATGCTTGACAGGAGATTGTAGCCGATGCAAAGGCTTGTTAAACGCAAAGGGTTGAATGGAGTTGTAAACATCGTTCTGGTGGCATAGCGTCTTTCTTCTTCAACGCAGGCTCGGATCAACTACATGATCACCGTTCGAGCCGACAAGGTCGACTCCCTCATATCAAGGGTATGCCCACGGCATATTGCACATTACGCTGTTTGCATCTTGGCTTTGTTGTAGATCGCTCTAGCTCCTAGGTCCAAAGAAGAAGCGGATGTATGCAGTTTACTGGTTGAAACATGGGATTATACCCATACAAACCTCAAGGACAAGTTAGCGTCAAAGCTATATCGAGACACTATGCACGGACTGTATGATTGTCACCTCGAAACGAGACGTGGCCATCGAACAGAAATCACGTGTGTGTACGGCGATGCATGTCACGCGTCGGTTGATTCGACAACGTCTTCGTGAAAGTAGCTACACAATACGATCTGCCGGAAGCATGTTGCAATTTGTGCACTCTACCGCGCGTCAGGCTAGAAACGTACGATAGTAACGCAAATAAACTATATGTGCTTGGCAATGACTGGAATTGTCTGAGAACAATTCATGGCGATACTTCTTGAATACGATCCTTTTGCAGTCACTAGCATTATGGCACATCGAACGCGAGGTGATGCAAAAGAGCGTACATGCAAGTACGACATTGACGCACCTTAGCATGTATAGGTCCCCGTATCCGAAAGACTATAATAATGACGTGTATGACGTTGCTTCGCTCAAATACAACAACAAAAAGCATGGATGTTCGACGTTTTAGAGTTCAACGTATGTTCGGCAGAGAAGGAGCAATGATAGCGCTTAGTTTGACAATCGCTTCTGCATGCGATCGCTATAAGCATGTCAAAACCGGCCCAGCCTTCAAGAAATGGACTTCCAAAACGGTTGTCAGTAAAAAGAGGATTTCTGAGAGAGACGATTGCACAGGTAATCGGCAGCAACAAGTAACCGAACGAGAATAGCTTTGCTGCATATTCGCCATTGATGCAAACATGAGTCTAGCACCGCTGCTCGATCGGTGGTTGACTCAGGGACGATCGATGCGTTATCGTTTTGTTCAGTCGGTCAACAAAAACTGTGCCATTGTATTCGTCATCTCAATCTTTCGGATGGTCATACACAAAGTCCATACTCATGGATTTCTAACACCCGTGGATGCGGGTAGGCAAGAGATCGATTTGGCCGCGTGCGTTATGTTTCAGACTTCCCACACTCTGAACGTAAGCACGAATAGTCCAGCCAATGATGCAGCTACAATAACATTTCGCAAACTACTTTCACCCACCGAGATGTAGGTCTCCCCGTGCCCCAGATGACTGCTGATATCAGTGTGACGCGCCACTTCGAGTATTTCGATCCTACTTATCTCGTAATGAACGAAAGCGTGATTTGATTCGAATCCCAATATCGCTGCCGGAAGGCCTTGATCGACGGAACGTGGCCGTGCACGCAATGACGCTGAAGATATTATGTTCGGGCTACAAATACTTCAGAGAGCACGCGGTAGAGCTATTTGCTGAGCATCTCGAGCAAATACTGTCTATATGAAACTGAAGTGATGATAGTGGCGTTACGCGCGCAAGCTTGTCGTCTGATCTTCGGTGACGCATATCTGAAAGCTGTTTGTTTATCCGGGCGTGAGGTTTGCTAGAATACACGTTCGGCAACGAACATCTTTCGCGTCATGTCTTGTGAAGCAAACGACGAATGAGCTGAAATGCGATGCATGTTCTACAACAAGACCGAAGGCCTAGATCCAAGCAAATGATATCTAACATTGACGGATACATACATCTGGAAATGAAGTCAACATTGTGATGACTTATACTTCTTCTCTGCATCACTGAGTGACGAGCTTCGAACGCGATGACACGGTCACGCCTATCTTCACGTGGCTCAGACATCGCGCTACCGATAACAAAGTCTGATGCATCACAGACGACACCAAAAGGCGGATCAGGGTCTTGTAAGCCAAAGTCGAGACATGTAGGAAGCTCTCCTGTATGTCTCGAAAGGCATTTAATGATCCGTCTTCCAACACAATCTCGCATTCGTCTTGCATAGATGAAAAGTCTGCCTGTGTCCGCGCAGTTGCTCCATCATATGCAGTTATATGGCGATACCGATCCACACTTCCATACGTGATTCTGATCCATGACAAGGACGATATCCGGTGGCTTTGATTTTAGCAAGCTGCGCTTAAAGGCCAAGCTTTCTGGTGCAGTACACGCAAAGAGGGCATCGTTGGGCTTTAAGATGCACGTTGATGCATTGCATACAAATGGCTGGTGCGCATGCACTCAAGCACCGCTCGCAAATGGTCGATGTATATTTCCGCAAGTCGTTTCATGATCTGTCCGACAGGCAAACAAGTTTGTAAGCATCACGTACGCGCTGCTTGCCATTGGGCTTGCTGGCATGGAATGCTGCGCGATAATGAGGAGACCGATTACCTTACTGATCAAATGCTGGTGCTTTTCTTGCTCAAACATGTATTGATTCTTGTTTTGTTCAATGGTTGAGTCGCTTACTGAAACCTACCAATGGGTCGTTTATCTTGCAAACTCGAATGAAGGCCGTGACGGGTGGCGGTGACATCTTCCCAACAAGTGGTCCATACCATAGCTAAGCAGGTGCACAAGCCAAAACACTACGACACCTCGTTGAGCTCATACAACCAGCGCGTCTCTTCCTCGCGCGCCCCCAGTGTCAATGCTCCTCACATTCGAGTGTTGTCCCCTCTATGATCGAATGGTGTGACTACCAGCAGGTAACACCGTTGCGACCCTCGTGGCAAGAGCTTCGACTGGCACGTCCACGCTATAACGCTCACCGTACAAATCCTAGGTCATGTCTAGGAATCGTCTACCCATGAACATCCGTTTCTACAATTTTCGATCGACACTTTGCTCAAACTCTGAGTCTTTTTTGCTTTGCATACTTCGTTATCCCCTCGGTATAGTTGGGTCGAACGTATCATTATTGGCCAAGTAGGGTATAGTTCACAAGCAAACCTTCAAGTTGTCAAGTCGACCAGCGGAGGCCGTAGCACACATTCGTTTGATTGTGACAGAGGGTCTGTGTTGGTGCAGACAGAGTGTACGCGCTCAAGCTTTTGTCCACCGGGCGAAACATCCGGACTCGTACAGTCGTAATGAGCGCAGACGAGGCTCGCGGTAGCCCTTTGTCATAGCCACACGTAATGCTGCACGATAAACGCTGAGCAGTCGAACCACTACGATATGACAACGACTTCTTGCACGTCCCCTCACGTTCTGCGCCGTGGCATCGGCAACGCAGCTGTATCGCATGTAAATTGTGCATGCGGTCGCCACCTCGTTTAGCTTGTGTACCTGAGGCACTTTTCTTCTCGCTTCTCTGCTGCATGGGGCAGCGATTCACTAACGGCACTTAACAACCATAGACTTGTACCGGGCTTGTGTAGGATGGATCTCAGCTTTATCCTGCACCTCGCCTCTAGCGACCTGCCACGACGAGTTTCCAGATCTGACGCTTGTCCTTCCTGGTTCATGAGCTCTCAGACGTCTTGCACGTTACGATAGGTAACTTGACAGTCAAGGAAACTCTCCATCACCGTGACAAACGCCTACACGCAACGCCTTTACCAGGTGTGCCCTACACAGGGGAGGGCTACCGTACGCTACGACGAGATGATACAGAGCCAGATGATCGGCAAAGAGCGTCGTTCCCGTTTTTCGTGGTGACAGTCTCAGGCTTTCAAGTTGGTTCTTCCGTGGTACCAGTCCCTATCGTCAACACAAAGCGAGCACATGTACCACGTCCGACGTGGCTGTCCACAAAGTCGAATGCAAGCTCGCTCACTCATTGTTCGTTCGTCCGCAATGTCGACAAGACTGCTTTGGCATTCAAGTGCAGTGCTACTTGCAGCATGTCTGACTGCCACCTCTTCGGCGCTCGACTTTATGGATGCAAGTGATCCAGTGCAGAGTACAGGTCCGGTAGCTCCTGAAAGTGAGACGCAAGATGCGGACGAAGCTTCTGGCGCAAATGGCTTTGAACACCTCAACTCACATGTGCAGTGGGCACCGCCCTCGTCGAACTATGGACCCCCGGACCCGTCTAACGGCAACGCAGGAGGATGGCCTCCGACCACGTCAATGGACACCCCATCCGTACATTCAGCGGACAAAGGCCAGTCAGCTGGACACGAAGGGCAGCAGCAATGGCCGCAGCATCCTCCGATGTGGGTCCAGGGAAGTGACGACAGCAACGGTCAAGGCTGGACGCAGCCGAGTTCACATGGTGGTAGTCAAGGGTGGATGCCTGGTGGGGGCTACGAGCACAAAGGCTGGATGCCTCCGACCGGTCAAGGTGATGGCAATGGAGACCAAGGTTGGATTCAGCCAACGGGATCAGGTGCGTCCTCGACGCAGCCGAACACTGGAACGATGACAAGTGGTGAGTCGAGCGGACGTGAGGACGGGCCCCCGAGCACGGAAGACATGGACACCACCGCCAGCTTAAGTGATGAAATGACCGTGGACAACGACGTCAGCCTCGAGTGTAGTGGCTCCGATGAGGACGTTAGCCAAGACAGTGACTTGGGCCTCGAGTGTAGTGGCTCCGATGAGGACGTTAGCCAGGACAGTGACTTGGGCCTCGAGTGTAGTGGCGCCGATGAGGACGTTAGCCAGGACAGTGACTTGGGCCTTGAGTGTAGTGGCTCCGACGAGAAAGAGACGACGGCGTCGACTTCAGCTGCAGACTTATCGGATACTACGCCGACGGTTTCCAGAGACAAAGACTTTCCGGGCTGGTCGCGGCCGCCTGAAGAAGCTGCATCCGCACCATCTCTGGCGTCTTCGTCACACTCAGATGCATTGACCACGGCTACTGGAACGAACGGACAGAGCGGCAGTCAGACGACCTCGCCAGACTCATCGTCGGACGACGAGTTCTCCTCGGACACGACGCAGCCCGAGTTACCCTCAGAGTCTGCTCCGTCAACAGCCTCGTCCGCTGACACTGTGCCATCGGTAGCACCGAAAGACTCAGAAGACCCACCGACGTCCACTGGCAAAGGCGAACACGCGACTTTCGGGACGGTGACTTCGAAGCCCGGGGAATGTGTCATCGGCGATCCGAAGGAATACGTGACAGCCAAAGATGTGGACTGGGTCTTTGAGAATCGCATGGGCGTCAATCAAACGGGCAATCAAAACTGGATCTTCGACCACGTCGTCAAGAACAAAGGCTCACTCAACTACTGTCTCCGCTGGGATGGTACGCAGAAACTTTCCAAGACGATGGCACTGAAGTTTAAGCCCATGCTACAACGTCAGTATGCAGCTTGGAACCGTTGGCTTATCGGGTATGGCTGCTGGCCATACGACGAGATCGAGATCAATATGGTCGGCTTTGCTGTCAAGGACGCGTCGTTGCTAGACTGGACGGACGACTCACTTGGGAAAATTTACGAAGGCGATTTGGATGCAGAAGGAGTTGCGCAGTGTCCACACGCCTGCTACCGGTTCTTTGACAATGCGCCGAAGACTTGGTCGGACACGAGTGGATGCCAAGGCGAACCCTTCGACTTGTCTTTGTGGCCAAAAGAAGGTCTAGAGGGCGGCTTGGGCTACGATTGGGGCCAAGAAGTCAATATGGACAACATGCTGCAGACCATTGACGACGAAGAGCTCACGATTGTTTCGCATGAGATCGGTCACGGCCATGGCCTGCCAGACTTCTACGAGCCATCGGACCAACCGAATGCTGACTGGCCTAAGTGCATCATGATGGCTGGTAGCTCCATGACCGTCACAGATGGCGATGGCTGGATGCTACGTCGCGCTTACGAAAGCATCAGGTCGCGCTACGATTTCAAGTAACACAGGTTTCGTATCGGATGAGACTTGTGTCCCTGTTCTGGTTTCTGCTCGCGGTCGCGCGGCGTCGGCGTGAAGTGTAGTGTAGTGTCGCTCCTCATGACGTGTTAACGAATCGATTATCTTTGGTGCACGAGTGCCCTTGCGCTGTTCTTATACACGACGACGCCATTGTGAGCCTAGCAGCTTACACATTACTGGTGCTTTTTTATACCAGTACCTGTCGTGCCAAAGACAATGAAGATGGACTGAACACATTGCATCAGGGAAACCCAGCGATCGCTCCCCTTCGGTCCAGAGGTTAGTGAGGCGTGTGTGCAGCAAACGAGCGATACCACTCCGAGTTCTCATCAAGCGTTTCGGATTTCGATTGCTGCAGAAATGTTTATGGACATGACACTTGCGTGATGTTGTCGGGCTTGACGGTTGACAGACCACACATAAAATGTAGTCAGGGTAAAGCCCTGGACGGTCGTCCTCGTTACAAACTTCGTCATTCCTTCTGTATGAGATGTCAAGCAGTAGGTGGTTTGGTCGATCGGCGTGATGAGCTGAGCGGTCAGATGCACGTTGTCCCACGATACTGAAGTCACGGTGGCCACTGGAATGACATCGATTCGCGCAATGGATGGAGATATCCTTCTTCTGGGATCAGGTTGCCAAAAGTGATGCGTGATGCTCCAAAGCCTGTAAAACGCTACGAGAGACTGTCGTTGAGGTCGTCTTTTACACTGGCGCGCTACGTGAAGCGCTTGTACAGTTGTGAGTTAGTGAAGACCTCTCCCTCGTGACTGAACTTGCTATCCGTTGATACGTATGTGTGCACAACTTTGTTCAGTTGCACTCGCCAAGCTGTCAGTGGGGCTTGAACTTGACGGCAAGGACATCAAGATTCGATACAGCACGTGACGTGGAAGAACGTCCTGACTTTGTTTGGGTGGAATCGATGCTGTTGTTGTTGCGTCCAAGGCTTCCGAATGGCGAGAAAGCATCTTTGTAGCTCATGCAATTACAATAGGCCAGTTTTTATCGATCACTGCACAAGTGCTTTTGAGTTTGTAAGCGATCAGGTGCAGATGATTGCAATTGCGAGCCAGACACTTTCTTGTTCGTTCGGCGGCTACGCAAGTGCCAGTTTTGCTTTGTCACAGTTGGTGTAGGAGAAGTTCACAGCATTTAGCTGGAATTATACTTGTGCTCACGGCAGCGGTCGTGTAGAGAAAAATCGACACGGACATCACCTGTTCCGCTTGTCGGTGCTATACCGGAAGGTCTCTGGTCATTCATGCTGTCTAAACAGGGCGAGCGATTTCCATCTTCCAGCCCCAGTCTTAGGGTCATATCCCATGACAAAGAGACTGTGTGCACGGCGCTCAATACATCGCTTGTGAGTCAGCAACAAGGTCATTGTGCGAAGGGTGACGTCGGGATATGGAGCATAGTGTCCACATACACACTGGATGAACACCACAACGGAACATAATCGAGAACGCTCTTTGCCCTCAATACAGCACTCGTACTTCAGGATGTCACCGTTGTATTCGTTTCATAGTAGTGGAGGAAAGACGGATAAACGAGTGTGAGGCCCTACGATTCGTTCTCTAATGTCAGCTCGAATGACGATCCAGAAATGGTGCGCAACTGCGACTCAAAAGCGCGATCCATCGCGAGTTTGAAATGCGCGTGTTTAATGCTCGTTTCTCCTTGACGCACTGCCAACAATGCAGCCTCATTGACCAGACTTGCTAACTGAGCTCCTGAGCGCTGACCACGATGACCACATTCCTCCGCGACAACAGATAGGTCGACTTCGCTGTCCAGACGCACACTACGACAGTGCACCTTCAGTATATCTTCACGTCCTTTGACATCGGGCAAGCCGACGTAGACATGGCGGTCAAAGCGACCAGGGCGACACAATGCCGGATCCAACACTTCCGGACGATTTGTAGCAGCAATCAGGATAATCCCATCGCCTTTGCCTTCGAATCCATCCATCTCAGTCAACAGCTGGTTCAATGTCTGCTCACGCTCGTCGTTCGAGTTCAATCCACCACGGACTTTTGCCAGCGCATCGATCTCGTCAATAAAGATAATACATTGCGGGGACTGCGAGGCTTGCGTGAAGAGGTCTCGCACTCGGGCAGCTCCTCTTCCCACCAGCGTCTCCACAAAGTCTGAGGCGGAGCAAAACAAGAATGCGACACCTGCCTCGGAAGCTACAGCTCGAGCCAAGAGTGTTTTGCCCGTTCCCGATGGGCCACAGAGCAGCACTCCTTTTGGTACTTTGGCCCCAATAGCCAGGTACCGAGCTGGGTACCGCAGAAAGTCGACTACTTCTTCTAACTCCTGTCTAGCTCCATCGATTCCCGCGACATCCTTAAACGTGATCCGTTGACTCTCGTGCTGTTTTCTCGTTTTCTTCACCCCGTCTTTGCCCACAGCTCCCGTGTCAGTGCCCACAATTCCACGCAGCATCTTGTAGCTAAGTCCCAAGTAGAGAAGAGGCATGAGCGCCACTGCAATTGGCACAAATATCTTGGATCTCGACGGTGCCACCGCGCCAAATTCCACGCCAGAACGCGTGAGTGCATCCAAAATAAAGCTGCTGCCTGCAGTGTAGGGCGGCACGAACACCCTGTGGTAGCGAACACACAAAAGAAGAAATAAGTTGTGGTCCTGGACACCTGCATGTTCTCCATCTATCGAATGTGTATCGATACTCTAGTACTCTCTTGATCGTTCCATTGCTCTCGATAACTTGGCCAAATCAACTCGAAGGAGCGTCAAAACAACGTGACACAATGCACGTTAGCGTACCTGTACGTCTCCAGACTGTTTTTGAGCAAAACAACGCAGTGATTCCCGGCTATGAGCACTTTATGCACACGATGAGTGCTCAAATCGCTCAACAAGACGCTCAAGAGTCGCCAAGACGGCGCAGCAGACGATTGAGTCGCTTTAAGCGCATGAACCTGCGTCACAATCGACATAACAAGCAGACGGAGCTTCTGCACGCCTTTTCTGGCAAGTAGCAGCACGCACAGCGCCGTGACGAAGCGCCGCGCGCTTGGTACCTGCATTGTCGTGCGCCAGTGCAAAAGTATCCGTATTCGAGTGACGTGATTGGTCAAATTGAAGAAGAAGGCAGAATGAGGCCGAATGCACAGGCAGGTGGACGATTTCTGAGCCGTAATGTGCTCATTTTGTGCGTACTTACCACGTGTGCCCAAAATGTCGCGCGCGCCGCAGCGAAAACGCACTTGACAAGGGTACAAAAGGACCACAAGCACGTCATACGCTCACAGACGTTATCCGCATGTACCGTTATTGTCAATTGCGCCTCCGTCTCGTTTACGAATGAAAGCAGCAACTGTGTAAGTGCGAGAAATGTACGCAGAGATAGTGGCATCAAGCAAAACATATCCGATCTTGACCCCACTGAGCGCTTGCAGTCAGCCGATGAGGATATCGACTCGTGCAAAGAGTCGAACATACGCTTGCGATGCGATCTGCTTGCAGGCGACACTGAAGTTTGCCACTGATCATCATCATGGGACATCGAAGGATATAACCATGTTTACTTGCCTTGTTTACCATCATCTTCGTGCTCGTCATCTGCCAACAAAATTTAAGACCAAACACTTCAACAGATGCCAGCGCGTCTAAAACTGGCTGGATCGACGACACCTGATTCGCACACCTTCACTGGGCGCCCTGGACATGTGGGCTTTGCTGATGCATGTGCACCAAGTTGACGTTGCTGCTGCCATCACTGCCAAACCGTGGATCCTGGCCACTCGCCAGCGGCCGAATGCCCGAGAGCGTCTTGAGCTCAGTGATGATTCGGGCACACAGGTTCATGTACGTGAAAGCATTGCCGTCAAGGCGCTGGAAATCGAGCAGGTAAATGTGCTGCTGCACTTTGTACAGCTGGAGACCAATCTTGATGCGCTGCATTTGCTGCTGTAGCATTGCCTCTTCTGGACTCGTCCCACCAGCATCATTTGTGTCTCCTCCCGAAGACTGCCATCTGCACTTGACGCGGTACGGTGCTACCACTTTCCATTCAAAGTGAAGCACGAAAAGCGCCTTGTACACTTCTGACATCACGTGAGCCGGCTCTTTCTTCGACTGGATCCCCAAGTACCACCGTCGCCGCTTGGGTGTAGGGGCAGCGGAGCCGTGACCATCTTCAAAGCCAGGTATGTTATTGCCTCCAGCAATCGACATCCGCGGGCCTTGCCCCGGAATGTTCAAGCCACGCCCGCCAAAATTCCGTGGATCGGCCAATGCTGAGGAGGGCGTCACCAATGGCGATGCTGCCATGGGAAGTGGTCCTCGTCCGGGTAGCAACAAAGTGCTCGGTTCGGGAGTCGAGAAAGTCTTCGGCTTATTATCGACCGTCCGAACATCTCGCAATTCTGTACGCAAGCACGGACACAATGCACATCCATCAGTACGACGAAACGCTGCTGCACAGCCTGATCCCTAGAAACTGACCGTCGATGCGAATCTTGGCGTTCTTGTGATCAAGGATGAGCTCGTATGCCACGCGAAGCGGATGATTCTCCCGCCTCATTAACAGTGCTACAAGCTGGTCGTGCCCGACATTTGCTGCATACGCCAGTGCCAAGCATTGTGATAGGCACTCTTCGTCAATCTTAAAAGTCTGCATCATCCAAATTCGTTCGATAGTGAGTACGACCGATTCCCTTTTCTACTGGTACTACAACACGTACCTCGTGCTCCACGATTTCCGGCGGATGCTGCAAATATGGCGGAAGATCAACCTGGAACCACGGGTGCTGCCTGATCTCCGGAATCGTAATACGTTTCATGGGGTCGACCACGAGCATGCGCGGAATCAGGTCGCGCGCCATCTCGGACAGGTGACTAGGTAGCGAGTACATGCCGCCTCGAATCTTCTTGAACAAATTGGGGATGCTCTCGTCATCAAATGGCAAGCTGCCACACAGCAGCGCGTAGAGAATCACGCCACACGACCACACATCGACTTCAGGACCGGCATACAAACTTCCCGAGATTACCTCAGGTGCTGCGTAATTTGGCGACCCGCACGACGTGCGTAAAAAGTCGCCATCTTCCATGCTGTTCGACAGGCCAAAGTCTGCAATTTTGATATTGTTGTCAGCATCCAGAAGCAGGTTCTCGGGCTTCAAGTCTCGATGAACGATCCGATGAAAGTGGCAATACTCGACCCCTGAGATAATCTGATGGAAAAAGTGTCGTGCTTCTTCTGGTGCCAGCTACGCCGCATGCGTAAATGACAGTCCATGCAAACATGTGAGTCTACCGATTTTCCACAACATGAAGCAACACCGCTTCGCATGCCAAGCAACGCACCCGTCCTTTTGACACAATGTAGTCAAAGAGCTCTCCGCCGGCAATGTACTCGAGCACCATGAAAATGTCCGTCGGCGTGTCGATGACCTCGTACCTGGTTAAGTATCCACGACATCATACCAATGTAAATCATCAAAAGCCACTTTTGCACACATACACACTCCATCGGTCGACCGACACTGAAAGAGAGACACATAGAAAATGGACACACACACACACACACGTACAGACGAATGATGTGTGGATGGCGCATTTGACGCAGTAGTGTGATCTCGCGCCGTACTTTTTCGCTCATGTCGAGGCTGCGGATCTTGTTGCGGTTAAGTATCTTTATCGCCACTTTGTGGCCCGTAATGTCATGTTCGGCCACTGTATACATAAGCGAAGCAAAGCGAATAAAATACACGGAACGAATGAGCGTAATTTACAGTGGCCAACGTGGAAATCGACGTGACGTGTGCTCGAGCGTCGAGCCACAAGCAACATACGTTTGACTTTGCCGAACGAGCCAATTCCGAGCGTCTTGCCGAGACGGTAGTGGCCTAGCTGGATGGGAATGTCGCCCATGAGTGCTACGAGCGGCGAAGGCACGGGGATGCGGCTGCGTCGACCGCCTGAGGCAAAAAGGAGAAAGGAGTTGTACTGGGTGTGGTGCACATCACGCAAAATCTGGATTAGTGTGGAAGGGAAAAACACACGCCATGCGCGATAAAACCCAGTGTAGTCGAGCTAACGCACGCGACAGTAGGTCGCGAAGGGGGAAGGGTTGAAGTTGCAATCGACCCTATGTCTCGGTCTGCCCTGCAGGAGAGGAAAACAATCGTGATACCGGTTTCACATCCGGATTCTCGTCAGCTTATGTACCAGCTGCCACAGTGCTTCGTCTACCGAAAGAACACGCCGAGAAGAAGCGCCTCCAATGTTCCTAAGGGGTAGCCGAGCCTCAGTTCCAGCTCCTGTCTCTCTTGGCGGACGCACATACAACAAGAGCGGCCGCTGTGAAATGATCGTAGAAAGCAGACAGACCGGTAGCAATTCACGGTCAGTAGTTACTTCGCTTATCGGGCACTCGTCGCAGTGAAGCCGTCCGAACGACCGACTCTGGTCGAGTGAATCAAATCGCAGGAAACCGCTTTGGCACGAATGGCAGCGGTGGACAGAAAAGCGCATCCAACCGACAGCACCTACACTTCCTCCAGGATGTCACGGTCGCACACAGCTGGGGGACAGCTCATCAAGTCGTTCATGAGCCGCCCGGCCCAGAAAGAAGGGGGCGTCAGACTGCGTACCCCTTGACGGGCTCAACGGATTCGGTGCCCATGCGCAAGAGTTGACGCGGATCAACAGCACTGAGCGGACTGCACTTTGCAGCATTTATGTCCATGTAGTAGCCAGATATGCCGCCGTGCAAGCGGTGGGCAAATTGCAGAGCACCGCGTTGACCAGCGGGCGCGTCCCGATCTTGCTCTCTGTATGCGTGTGTGTGTGCCGCGTTCAGCGCGCCGACGTCGTCACTGAAGCAATAACGGGCGTTGCAAATCAGGGGAAAGCCGGACGTGTGGAAAACGCACCGGGGAATGGCGACTGCCATTTCGGCCCGAGGCCGACGGGTTTCTACGCACTGTGTCGCTTTTCGACAGTGTCTTCTCGGTCGTGATTGGATCAAATTCGGATTGTCCAGCATGGCGTGCCGCACGCCATAGTGTGTGTGGGCACTCGTGTCTCAGATCCAGTCCCCACGCGTGCGCTGGCTTTCTCCGTGACCTGCGTGTGTGTGTGACTGACTGACTGACTGACTGTGTGTGTGCGTGTGAGTCTGTGCTTTTCCCGTGGCGGGCGACCCACCCACCAGATTCAATGCACTACACCTTTTGCCGTCGGAAGGACACTCCACGTTTACCTACGGCCAGTGAGCGCTGCCACAACAGGTACTTCAGCTCTCACCACAGCTACGCACACACACACACACGTACACACAGCGCCAGAGGCGAACCACTCGTCCACTTGTTTGTCGTCCAACTGCCATCAGCAGTCGCCGACGTTTGTGCACGACTAGAGCTTCTGACTGGCACACACGTCACGTACGCTCCCCACGTCGCTCCGATGCAGAGCCCCACGACCGCAAACGACGGCATCCGCACGACTGCGCCCGTGCCGCCTGTGCAGCGCTGCCAAGTCAAGACCAAGAGCCGGCGCAGTCGACGACCGCTGCCCACTTGCGATGGCTCGACCCCATCTGCTTCATCTGCTTCTTCTTCTTCTTTCGCCTCCACTTCGTCTTCCTCTTTCTTGTCGCCGTCGTCGCACGTGTCGCTGCCGCTCGCCTCGGCGCCCCGCACGGTCGAGTTCCTGTGGAGCGGCTGCACTGCGCCCGGCTTTACGCTCAAGCGCAAGCGCTCGGGCGCCATTCTCGTGAGCACTGTGACGCACGAGACGCAGGTGGCGACAACGCTGCGAGTCGGGAGCGAGTTCAAACTCGTGGGCGGGTTCCCCGTGAACCGCCTCACGCTGCAAGACGTCAAGAAGGTCATGCTCCTGGCCCCCAAGCCCGTGAGTCTCGTGTTTGTAAACACCAGCGACGTCATTGTTAGTGCCGTTGACGTCGACGTGGACGTGGACGCCGACCGCACGCAGGGGAACCTCTTGACCGTTGCGAGGAGGAAACTGTCGTCGGCCACGTCCACAACGGGTCCGTCGCTGGCGTCGACCACCGGCATCTTGCGACGCAGTGTGAGTCTCAACTCGCGCAGCGTCATGGACAAGAGCAGCAACAGCGACACGAGCCGTCGACGCAGCTTCGCCAAGGAGCACAAAGTCTCGAAGCTGCAGCTGGCGTTGCACCGCGTGAACCAGTTACTGAACCGTCCCGTGCGACGCGCCGGGCTGCACGTTACAGTTGACAAGAGCATTGTCGTGTGACGGGCCACGAGCGTTGTTTCGAGCTAATTGCAGCCACAAACTTGAGCTCGTGGGCAGCGTACTCGCTGAGTGTGGACGCAGGTAGTAGTGACTCACTTGCTCTGTATAAACGGATGTCCGATATGATATATGCGGCCTGCGCAGGCCGAAGCTACGCGAAAATACATTGAAATTGTGCAGATAGAAAACCACACGTGTTGATGTTGCTGTTCGACTGAGCTCTAGCGCTCGAGTCTTTGTGGATACTTGGCGTACGCGCCCGCGGAAAGGTGCATGAGACGCTTAAAGTCGTCCTTGTCAATGCTGCGCTCGTTGAAGCGATTCGTGTGGTAACAGCATCGATTGAGGTTGTCGTGCAACAGGTCAAAGCACTTGTCGCTCTTCCTGAATGGCGCTAGCTCGGCCATATCCTTGACGGTCAATAGACCGTCCTTGTCTTGATCGATCGTGTCGAACACCCGGTCGGCACACTTGGCGAATGCGTCACGGTGCTGCCTCTGAAGCAGTGGCCAATCCAGCAACGCAGCACAAAACTCATTACGAGATACCCGGCCGGTACCGTCGAGGTCCAAGTTCCGGAAGAAGCCCTTGGCCTCACCACGAGTGAGTCGGTAGCCACTTGCTGCCACGTACACTGCAAATTCCTCAAGGCCCACGATTTCACTGCCATCACGAGCCACTTGACTGTATAGTTCGAGCACATCGTGCTTCAGTTCAAGAGGCAAAAAGCCGGTCACTTCGTTCAGCACAGCGCGCTGCAAGATCGTAAGCGATCGATACAGCTGCAACCTCTGCACAAGCGTGCCGCTCAGCACAGAACCGCCAGTTCTCTTGGTAGCTTCGCTCGCCGCAACAGATTGTGTACTGGACACTCCAGTTGGTAGTGATGCACGAGGAGCAAACCAGGGGTGCTGCAGTGCTTGCTCAGCTGTCAGGCGCTTGCTAACATTGCGTTCCAGCAGTCGTTGTACGAGATCCTTGGCTTCATGCGATATTCCCGTCCACGGCAAGCTCTCCAGATCAATCGCTTCGTGCAGAATCCGTTCGTCTAGCAACGGTCCCGACGCAAACGGGAAGTGCCCGCTCAACAGCCGATACAAAATCACTCCGCAGCTCCATAAGTCCGACGGAAAAGCGTATTTGCGCTTGAGCACCTCCGGCGCCGTATACAATGGCGTACCGTGGACGTCGTTCAAGAACGTCCCCGCTTCCAAAAATGCAGCCCCACCGAAATCGGTCAACTTGAGTGGACTGTCGGCTGTAGCGTCTGCGAACACAAAGTTCTCGAGTTTTAAGTCTCGATGTACAATGTGCAACGCATGGCATTGCCGCACCACGTACAAGATCTCTCGCATGTACATTTTCGCCTGCTCTTCCTGTTCATCAAGGCCGGCAGCTCGATCATGCCCCTTTTCTCCATCCAATCGTGCTGACAAGTCACCACCCACACACCGCTCCATCACCAGGTACACATACCCATCGTCTTCGTACGCCCCGAAAAAGTGCACAACATCGAGCGTCCCGCCCAGCAATTGCATCATGTGTGTCTCTCGTTTCAACGCAGCGTAGTCGTCGCGACTCGCTAGACGAGACTTGGACACGACCTTGACTGCAAAGTCCAGCAGCAGCTCCTCTGTCTGCAGCTCCTGCTGTCGTGGTACAGCCCCGTATACTGTCCCAAACGTCCCTTCGCCCAACTTGTCACCAAGTGAGTACTTGGCATGAAACTGCCGGGGCAGGTAAAACTCCAGTTCTTCTGGTCGCGTGAGCAAACTCGCCGTTTCGAGCACGAGATGCTGCAACGTGGGAAACCACGCGAGCTTGTGGATCACTTGTCGCCAGCTCTTGCGGACACTGCCATACTGCAGTTCAAGCGGCTTTCGAGGAAAGATCGGCACTGCTCGACTGCACGTGCCACGCGCTCTTCGAGTCGCACTCTTCGGTCCCATTGCATCGCGTGCTTGAAGCCGTGTCCATTTCTGGTCTCGTGCTGCTGCAAAGAGCCGAAAACTGCGATAGTATGGCACGAACCGCTGCCAAACACGTGAAGTCGCGGGACGCATTCGGACGGAGTATCGGAGTTTCAGAGACGTGCGATCGATGGCAGCGCGAGAACGAGCGCAAAGGCACACAGTCGCGACAACCACATGAACCAATGCGCGCAGCTTGTGAGCGAACCCGTCTACTGGCACTCGACCGCACTCGTGGACTGAAGCGCGTGGAGAGAAAGAGAAGAAGAAGAAGAAGAGGTGTTGCGATCGTCGCTGGACCAGTGTACGGATTGCGCGGTAGAGCCTGAATAGTATCGGGATTGGTACCGTTGACACGTTGTGGGAAAAAACCTCAACACGTGTGGTTCAAGCGTTGGCGCATGCTGTCTGTCGCCTGATGCTGCACAATAATGATAATACGGTCAAAAGAGCACGTACGTCACAAGTTTAAATGGATTGGGAGTTCGTGGCGTCGTCAGCAGCATCGGCCGCGTCACTCCCGGATGTTTGCACCGTTGCAGTAGCAGTGCTCGACGATACGTGTGGTGCAAATGTCTTGTCCTGCTGGAGACGCAGTACGCTGCCGGACAAGAGGCGACTGGTCGGCGATAGTAGGAACAGGATCGACTGCGTCAGCGTTGCTGTGTCTTCTGTAGCCTCAACACCCGCAGCATCGACTGCCTGCCGGAGTGGAAGCAACACGCAGTTCACTTGGATATTGCGCGGCTGCAGCTCCTCAGCTAACGCTTTGACTAGTGACTCGATAGCAGCATCGTCCTGGGCTGATGCAACGTTCACGATGGTACCGCAGCTGGGCAAAAGCCAGCTGTCCTCGCCAGTAACGGGGCCCGTGAAGCACGTAGATGACATGGACTCACTCAAAGCTTCAATGAGGGACCTGCAGCCCGTGTCATAGACGCACGCACATCGTTAGTAGGGAACGAGACGAACAACAGGAACAGCGGCCTCGTACGCGCTAGACAGAGCCCACTCGTTTTTCGTAGCGGCTTCTCCGGCGTCTTCGAGCAATAGCGACTCGAGCACTTCAGGGCCAGCGTAATTTATCAGGTAGTCCACGCGCTGGTACTTCGTAGCGATTGAGCTGCACCACTCGCTAATGTCAGCGCGGGTTCGAAACGGCCCCAACATAGGAAGCAACACACCACGCGGGCTATCTTCGCTGTCGGACAGGTCCGGAATACGGCCGACATGTTTCGCATTGAACTCGTCTAATGCTGACAAATTGCTGCACATGCATCATGAGCCGCCATTCAAGCACACTCCCCACCAAGAAAAAACTTACGCAAAAGTAAGCAGTACATTTGCCCCCATGAGCCATAAGTAGGTCGCTACGGACGTTATGACGTTGTGGTCTCCTCCCGTCACCACCACCTGGAATGAATGCACGCCCGAACAAGTGCGTCACTACTGAACCTTCTTCCAAGCGCAACACGCATTTGTCGGTACGCACCAGTTTGTTGTAAAATACCGTCTGCCACTGTGCTGACATCATTCCATCTTGATACAGCACGGACGAAGCCAAGCTGTCCACGCCAGCTGCATCAGCACTGGCCGCTCCATTGGTGCGTGACATCGCGATGCTTCCAGCTGAATACGGAGATAAGGCCATTGCTGCTGCATCCATTCCATGCGCAGAAAAGGCCGTGAGTTTCAAGCGTTTCCGATTCAGGTCCAGCTCTTCACGGACATTTCCCATGTAGTCGCCAAGAGCTCGTTTCTGGAGCTCCATGTTCTCGACAGCAGCAGAGCTTGAGTGCACAGCCGTATCAGCAGCAGCCGCACCATCACCAGCACCAGCACCACACGCAATCGCCAATTGACCGTACAATCCATTATTAATTTCGGTGCGTGCATTGCACCGGCCATCCCGTAAGTTTTGCAAAAATATCTGCACTGCCAGATCTCCTTCGGCCTCGCGCTTGTGCTTGAGCAGCCGCATAAACTCGGGGTGTTTACTCATCAAATGGTTCTCAATGCGTCCACGACGACAGTTGAGGCGGCTCCATACCTTCGTCAGCTCGCGCTTCGACGCTGGTTCGTCGCACAGCATACACACAATGACGTCCTTGAGCTTGTCCGAGTCGCAAGCAGCCGCACTTGCTGATGGATCGCCAGTCGCCATGCGCGCATCGGTGTGTACCTCGTTCTCTGTGTCTGAGTCCGGCAACGAGCGCTCGATGATTGGTAGAGAATGTAGCCATCGCTTCTGGAAGGTGAAGACGCGTTTCCGGGACCCCGCAGTGTTCGTGGGTTTGGGCGACTGCTGGTGCACAGGCGCGTCCAGTAGAGACGCAGAAACGTCAGCATCAGCTTCAGCGGATGCTTGTGGAGGAGATGCACGTACTGCAGAAGTCGCAAAGAAGGTTGCGGAGGTAGGGGAGCTCGCGACGCCCACCGCTTTGTCCGGCGGTGAGCCGACCATTTTTCGCGCAGACGCTTTGAATGGTTACGGGGGTACGATGCGTTGGTGGTGATGGGTTACAGCGGTTACAAACGTACCCTACCGAGGCGCGCATTGAAATAGAATGCACGGTCCTTTGTTTGCCGCCGCGAGAGTTCAACATGCTGTATACGAGGTCGCGCAGAATGACGCGCGAAGAAGCCAGAGTGATGGTCGAGCAAGTTGCTCTATTGCGGCTCGAGCTCATGGCTTTTGACAGATCATGTATTTCTAGCGTCGCTTTTGTAGTCGGATGTATCAAGTTGGGCTCGACCAGGCGATCAGTTGCTAGAGGTCATATCTCCAGCTCGCACGTCGCAAAAACTTCAAACTCCTTCGCCCCCCACAAACCCTCCCCTCCCTCCTTCTCTCTCGTGCCACGACATCTCGTGTCGGCCTTGACGTCCGTCGACGTCCGAAATACACCGTCATCTTCAAGTTCCTTGCAGTTTAAAGTGTCGACGCCCTCGCTCTGTAACCGGCACAAACTGCGGCAAGAGCAACAGCAACAAGGGCAAGAGCAACAGCAACAATTGACGACGCTTGTTTTTTCTACGGCAAGTGCAACCACCACGAGTAGACGGCTCCTACAATGCCGTCCACGCTTTATCGCACGACTTTATCACATGCTGCTGCTACTTCAGCAAGCCCTCAAGCGCCACTTCACGACGGCACCACCACCTCCTCGTCGAATCCGAGTCCCACGACTCAGTCTACTCGTCTGATGCGGAGTTCGGATCAGACTTTGACCTCGATGCCTCGACAACGCACTGAAAGCAAGCGAAAGCGACCGGACCAAGCGACTAGCATCGACCCTGCTGGTGCAACGACCAAGCGCAAGAAAACTGGCGCCGAGTATTTGCGGAAAGGCCAATGGACGCCCACGGAAGAGCGACTCGCGCGACTTCTAATCGAAGCGTTCGAAGAAGGGCGGTTGCCCATCTACACGGGCATTCGACTGCGCGGGTACTTGGCCGTGCAGCTCCAGTGCGACCCCATGCGCGTGAGCAAGAAGCTTTGTGCGGGCACAATTGACCACAAACACGTGCCGAAGAATTACGGACAAAAGAAATTTAAACTACGAAAGAAAGGGCAGTGGGAATCCGACGAACTGGCGGCGCGGATGGCTGAGATCAAGCGCCTGACAAAGACGTTGTGGGTGGAAGCGCAGGTGCGGAAACCGGCTTTTCTGACGCTGTCGAGCACGCGCAATGTGAACAAGCGACAGGCAGGGGACGAAGTTGACGTGGTGTCGTTGCCACCTAGCCCTACGCAGAGTTGCCCTTCGGTTCCGACTCCCAAGGCAAAGAAACGAAAGGTGCTGCCTATCATTTACTTTAATCTGTCGAAGCTCCAGCGCTGCGCAAGCCGAGAGGGCGACGACAGAAGTAGTAGCAGTAGCGGCAGTGAGCTGGCGTCACCGAGTCGAACCGCAGACTCCGACCACGAGTCGGTACGACTGGACGGCGAGTCGTTGCAAGCGGCGTACGATCTGTTGACCTTGTGCAGTCCACGGGGCTCTTCGGGGCGCTACAGCAAGTGCAACCAGGACCAGCTGAAGATGGGGGTGACTGCCAACTCGATGGCTGCTGTCGAAGAACACGCCTGCAAGGTCGGTGGTGGTTGTGGGAACGCCCGTGTGAATGCAAACGCACGTGCGTTGGCGAGGACGACGTAAGCAGAAAAAGTGTGAACGACAACTTTAAGGCAGCCGCAAGAGAAGCGAAGGGGCAAGTTTGCTGGGGGAAACAGAGACACTGAACAGGGACAAGGTTTGGCGAGAGCAGTTGAAGTGGGCCATCTCCAGCAAAGATGCTATGGTCATCAAGAGGATTTTTTCTCACTGGTGATTTGCTGCAACATGGAGAGAAATGTTGCTGTCTATAGTGGGGAACGCATGGAGAAGTTGTTGGTGGAAAACGCGCCGCAAGATTCTGGGCGAGCGTGTCGCCGACTTGCCAAGTTGTACCTAGTATGATGTATTTCGTGCTTTTGTTATGGATTGTTTTGTGTAAAACTGAAAAAGAATACAGCACGATGAAGTGCAAATTTATGTTTGATCAAAATACGACTCTATACAGCCGAGCCGCTGAATGTCTGCACCGCACTCGAATATTGCACATTACAGCATCTCTTTTCAGTCAGTCTATCAACTTTACACATCGCATCATACGCGACCTTTTTGGTGCGTTTGATCTCAATTATGACAAGAGTTTTCTAGACCGCAGGCTTAAGTTCGCTTCATACCTTATCTGCTTCTATTAACGAAAATGTGTTTTATGCGGTTCCAGACCGACTTTCGATCTACGATTTGGTACGTGTACAATCAGACTTTCACCTGGTCCCACATGTATTGTTCGCGAAAGTAACGCGATACACAATCAATGACTCAATTTATGAGTTATTTCCTACAAATATTCTGGACAAGGGAAGCTCAAGTTATAGTCTAACGGCGTGGTATTAAACAAAGAGACTAGCAACAACCTGCGGCTCCAGGTATTTTGCGACCTGTCACTTGATTGATTGATTGGGAGTGATGGGGTCGGCAAGAGTCAAGACGGTTAAAGGGGTTTTCGTGGAAATGTTCCTCCTCGTGCTACAAGCACGTTAATTGTAACGGGGCAGCCCGTTAATTGGAATAGTCATTTTAAAGAAACAATGACATAAAATAATATTAAGTTTAATATTCTTTGAACAATATCACCGAAGTGGTGATATTGAAGGGTCGACCAAAGAGTCTGTTCATTGGTTGATATCTTGATGATATCAACCCACCAATCGCCGCAAGACGCGCAATGGGTGGTGACGAGACGTCACCACACACTCAGTTAGATTAGCATAATTGAGTTAAGTCAAACAGAGAGACAGTGGATAAAATACTTAATTATATTAATATAACAGTTCTGCTTTTACCCTACCTACGCTTCCTCGCTTGCCTTGTGTACGTCTGTCGGGGCACCGATACCCTTGCGTTAAGTTCACGCAAGGGTGTGCCCCGTTTCATTAATTGCATGTTATGAATTGCTGACAACGAATATCACTTTGTAATTAGCCACACACCAGCAGCTTGTTCATCTTCTCTTTCTGCCTGTCACACTCTGTGCTTCGATACGCTTGCTACCTGAAGAGAGCTGAAGCTGTTAGGCAATGCGCCCGAAACCCTTGACTGAAGCAAACGAGTATAAAGTCAGACCAACAAGGAAGTGAATACGATGAGTGGAACTGGCGTCGGAGGTGTTCCTGGTGCTGGCGCAGCATCTGCAGGCATAATGGTACCACAAAATCGATTAATGCGATGAAGTAACAAACCTCCGCGCTTCGAGGGAACATTTGAGCTATACCGAGCTGAACTAAAGCTATACCTTGGTGGACGTCAAAGCTGGGGAGTCGTTACTAAAATGGAGACGCGACACGCCTCGGACCAAGCACTACATATACAGTTTGACGACAGAGATCGGTTTGCGCGGGCTACAATTTTAAGCGGGTTATGCGGATGTCAAAATGACGATGCAACGAAAGTGTGTTCGATTGCAACAGCAACTGCGATGTGGGCGTCGCTGGTGGCTGTCAAGACTCAGCGTGACTTTTCCTATGCAGTACTGTTTCGGCGACAACTTTATTAGCACTCGCATCACCGTGGGGAATCTATGTTGGCATACCTGAAGAAGATGGCAAACTTGCGACAGCAATTGCATAACATGGTAATCGAGCACAACATTAATGATGATGAAATGGCACGACTACTTCTCATGGGTGTCGCAATAACCCATCTAGAATTAATTAAACAATCTGATCTCCGAACTAGACAAGGTAATCCACCAACACTCCAACAGGTCATGAATTCGCTACGTTCACGTGACGAGCGCGACAAGATGGTGGATCAAAATACTGGTGTAATCGACGGTGACACAAGATCTGTAGTCATGAACGTCGGCAATTCGTCCAGGTATCCATCGAGTCAAGGAGGTGTCAAGACAGCCAAGAAGCGCAATTGCTTTCACTGTGGTAAAAAGGGTCATTTTCGCAGGGACTGTTGGCACTTCAAGAAGAAACAGATAAATTCCCATAAAAAATCGAGACTGATTCAACGCGAGAAATAAAGACAAGAGACACCAAAGAAGAAATAGTCACGATGCAGCACAGACATCGGTAAACTTGATACGAGGTAATTTCGACCAAGGAACGAGCATAGTGACAACGACGAAGAATCATCTTTGATGGTGGCCATGGTGATGTAGAAGACGATTCAAGGGGACTCTTGGACATTGATTCTGGACTGTGGCAGCACTACTCACGTGTACATGGAGCGCGACAGATTCACGGACCTGAAGAAATCCAAAGCATAGTTTACAATGTGGACAGGTCAGACGAAAAAATATTCAATGAGTGGATCAGTAATTGTACGCGCTATGTATTCTTCTACGAAGGAGATGATACAGGTGCAGTTAGATGACGTGGAATATGCTTCGCGAGTATTAATCAATATGATAAGTTTGGAAGTATGGAAAAGAAAAAGTGGGTCCCCTCATACAGTCCGCCAACTATGACCCCGAGAAGGATCTGGTTAGATTGTGGCGTGGATCATAGCGGCTAGAGTTCATTAGGAACGGGGACCACTACTGGCTGCAATCATCGGAGACATTGGTCGTGGATGATGATTTATCGCTGTTGACCCTTAATGCCGATGCAAGTCCGTTGATGCGGTGGCACGAGCGTTTAGGACATCCCAACATTTCAACTATTAAATACATGACTGATAACAATGTTGTCCGCGGTATGGAAATACCAAGAGAGCTCTTAACACAGCGGGGTACCTGCTTAAGCTGTATGTCAGCAAAGCATAAACGAATTTCATACAAGGCAAGCGTAGAGAATAAGCGTACAAAAGTGAACTACGAAAGAATCACGTCCGATGTCTGTAAAATGGGTAAGCACTTACACGGAGTTAAAGAGAATCGATACTTTCAGCTGGTTCACATTGAAGGCTCACGATATTAGTGGCGTTATCCGTTAAATCTAAAAATAGAATCAAACAGTAACATTATTCGGCTGGTGACTGAATTGCTGGAACAATGACATCATGTTCAGACATTCACTAGCGATGGTGGTGGTGAGTTTGTTAACACTGAACTCAAAGCGTTTCTTGCGGCGAAAGGCGTCCGATTTGTACCCACGCATCCGTACACCAGAAGAGAATGTGCTGGTAGAAAAACTCAACGGTGTATTGGTGAATAAGATGCGCGCGGCGATGCATGCTGCGGATCTCCCTACACGTATGTGACCGGAAGTACTTCCGTACATTGTGGACATTCACAACATGAGCGCAACGAGAGCCTTGAAGGTAGGAACCCCGTTCAAATAAAATGCTTGGCCGAAAACCTGATGTGGGCAAGATCAAGGTATGCAAATCAGTGGGATTCGTTCATGTGCCAAAGGAGAGAAGAAAAACGAAGCTAATTGTGAAGGCCGATCCAGCATTGCTGCTTCGATTTGCTCGAGTATCTACCGGGTATCGGATCCTCCATCTTAGGACTGGCGGTATAGTGGAAGCTTGAGACGTACACTTCCGGGAGGACATAACAGTGAGCAAAGAGTTTTTGACGGCATTGAGTAAACGGCAACATGGAATGTACGACATAATTCCGTTTGTACCTCTGCCGGTGGAATATGTGGCGAAAGAATGTGTACGTAGTGATGCAGCACAAACAGTGGAAGCAAATCTACCTAGGGCAGTTACTGCAGGACACAGAGAACAAGCGGCTAACAATGGCGCGCATGTTTCAGGGAGAGCGGCATCGTCGAGTAGTGACGAGTCGGAAGTGGATGAACAAGAAGATTCATTAAACAACTTGTGAGCGGCGGAACAAGAAGCAGCTGTAACTGAACCATCCCGGTCAATATCGGAATGTGATAATACGCCAGCTCGATCCCGAGCTCGCACAAGAACAACGTCGTCCAAACGACAGCTGTCATCAACTACAAATTTACAAACGCCTAAAAGGCGGTCAACGCGTGAAACACGGTTAAATGTCAGGCTGAGTGGTTATCAGCTGATGATTAAGGATGTAATGAAAGAAGAGCCAACCAAAGTGGAAAAGGCCTAGACATCTCCCCGCAGTAAAGAGTGGAAAACAGTCATGCAAGCATAATTTGATTATCTATTGCGGAATGGAACATGGATCCTTGTGGATCACCCAAAATATAACCTGGGCACATCAGCTAAAATTCTCACTTCTAGGCGGGTGCTCCGTATAAACGGGATCATTTTGGGAAGATCTGGCGCTACGAGGAAAGACTAGTAATTCACGGTTTTAAACAGCGTGCTGGGTCGGAATACGACAGGACTTATGAACCCGTTGTGCTTATACCAACTATTCTCTTGATGCTACTGATAGCAACGTTCTCAGCACTTGAGGCAAGGCACGTTGATTTGAAACAGCGTTTCTCAATAGCTGGATTATTGGGGTGACGATTTATATGGTACAACTGATGTACTTCAACGATGGTACTAAACGTGCATGTCTATTTTAGAAAGACCTCTTGGTCTGAACCAGGCGGCTAGGCTGTGGTATTGGATGTTGCACGCTTTCTTGATGGAACGAGGGTTCCAACGGTGCGCCTGTGATGTAGGATTGTATTATCAATATGTCGATGAGCGGATTATTCTTGTCACTGTGT